CTAGGATTTTCCGAGAGTATGAATAAATCTCTCCTTGTTCTGAGGCTTGGTAAACAAGCAAAGCCAGAAAAATTTATGGGCATTCAACAAACGTACATAGTTCATATAAACTTCTAGTAATTCTGTGGAAAGAAAATGCTTGTTCTCCACATGCCAAATGTTGAAGTGCAATTCTTCCGTCATTCTCAGTTTATTCCATTATACTGAATGTCAAGACTTTTAATGACAATATTTCTTGTAGAAATGGCAAGTTCTCCCTATTTGTACATTTACTGTTGTGATGTGTGTATGGAAAAGCCAATGTTCATTTTATTTTGTTTTAACACTTGACTGTGTTATCTCCTTTATATGGGACTGCATGTTTACAGGAAACATGTAAAATTATAAGAAAAGTCTGGAACCTTCAGACTCTTTAAAGATAAAGTATCTATAGTTTTCCGTACAGTTGGAGCCTTGGTGTCTGCTGAGGTTTTGTTCTAGATTCCCCATGGAATCTGTAATTGGTTGTATTATACACATACATTATAAGCCCCTGGTGGTGCAGTGGGTTAAACCCCTGTGCCGGCAGGACTGAAGATCGACAGGTCGCAGGTTCGAATCCGGGTAGAGCGCAGATGAGCTTCCTCTATCAGCTCCAGCTCCTCATGCAGGGACATGAGAGAAGCCTCCCACAAGAATAATAAAACATCAAAAAATCCAGGCATCTCCTGGGCAACATCCGTGCAGACGGCCCATTATCTCACACCAGAAGCGACTTGTAGTATCTCCAGTCACTCCTGAAATGACCCAAAAAAAAACATTATAAGCAGTGGCATAGTAGAATGGCATTCAGAGTAAGTTTTTGTCGTGGTCCACTAGGGTTAGATATAGAAGTTGATGGTGTTTAATAAACACTAAGAAAAAGAATTAAAGTATACCAGATATCAAAATATAATAAATCAATTAATAATTTAGCATTTTCCCTTTAATAAATAACACACAGTATTTATTCATGTATTACATTAATTTTGTAGGATTTGTTTCTTTTTTTCTCCTATGATTATAAAAATATAATTGCAAGAAGGCAGAAATGAAGCAGTAGAAAGAGCATTGCATACTATTAACTGGCTGAAATCTCAGGCTACTCCTGTTGGGAGCAATACCTCGTTTGGATTAGATTCACCCATACTCAAGACTTTATTAGATAGTAGATGCAGGCAGTTATGAACAAGATAAGTTATGTAGGTTTGTTCTTAAGCTGAATTTGTATGTAAATCGAAAAAGGTACATTTTTTAAGTCTAACCCCAGCCCAAAATCTCTGTTTTAGCTTTGGATAGCATAGGGAAGGTGTTTGTTTGGCTGTCTGTGCCCCAGTTCAAAAGATTTAACCTCCTTTCTGTCCCTGTGTCAAATAGATTTTAAAAAATTTGGCTTGTTTTGGAAACAAGGATTGGTGAGAAAGTTTCAGTTGAGAAACCTTTCCTTATGTTAACTTTTTCTGGAGTGAATTTCCCCTCAAAGGAGTAGATTCCTTTCTCTTCTTGATTTCTCATCCCGATTCTTAACTATGAATTGTTTTTAAGTCAAATGTTTGTAACTCAGGGCCTGTCTATATATTGGTTTTTCAAGATATTATTCAAATGTCTAATTTGTCTACACTATTGGCTGAAATACCTTGTGATCTGAGTAACTGAGTATAACACACACCAAATCATGGGGGTTAGGTGCACATACACTTAAGCTGAAGATATTTATTATTTATTTATTTATTTACCTTACTTATATACCGCTGTTCTCAGCCCGAAGGCGACTCACAGCGGTTCACAACAAATACGAACAGCAAAATTCAGTGCTACAATATAGAAACAGTTAACAAGCTAACACATTACACAATTAATAAACAGTTACTACAATACCCATTCACTGTCGTCTCGTCATCAAAAACATGTTCCAGATTCATCATCCATTGTTCCATTCCAGTGTTCATTAACCAATCATTGCACTAATTATTCGAACGCCTGCTCAAACAGCCAGGTCTTCACTTTTTTGCGGAATACCATTAGAGATGGTGCTAGTCTAATGTCCGTAGGAAGGGCGTTCCACAGCCGAGGAGCCACCACTGAGAAGGCCCTATCTCTCGTCCCCGCCAGCCGAGCTTGAGAAGCAGGCGGGATCGAGAGCAGGGTCTCCCCGGAAGATCTCAAAGTCCTGGTGGGTTCATAGGCAGAGATGCAGTCGGATAGGTAGCTTGGGCCGGAACCGTTTAGGGCTTTAAAGGCCAACGGCAGCACTTTGAATTCAGCCCGGTAGCAGATCGGTAGCCAGTGGATATTACATGTTCGTCAAGGCATCTCACTATTCGATTGTCAAACCTCCTTAAAATTAGTAACATTTTTCAGAAGTGTATTCTTCATGCATTACACAGAATATATTCATTAAATTCTTCTGATGTGTATATTCATTTGCAGACTTCATCAAATAAATATGTATTCCATTTCTAGTTGTTTTGAACATTTTATAACATATGGCTATAATCGGATAGTACTAAGATTTCGGAGTTGTTTTTTTTTAAAGAAAAAAATGACTTTGTTTAGATTAATGAGCAAAATCTTCCTATACAATATTTTTGAATAGGAGGATTTGGTTTGAAAAATCATTTTGCCAGTGTTATATGTATCAAGAGTCCCTATAGGAATTATGAGGACAGTATTTTCTTTTCTTTCTCCCTTGCAGCGAATCAATACTGTGTGGGGGAAAGCATCATTCAGATGGGTTTTGCCATTATCTTCTTCTTAGACTTAGAGAGTATGACTTGCCCAAGAGCTTCCAGTGGAGTTTTTTTGCTATGTTGTCCCTTCCAGCTGATTGAAGAATTTCTCCCTATCATCAAATCACTCAAGAGAAAGCTAAGGGGAAGAGTGGTGAAAATGATCTTGGACAACACCACCTTCCCCTGTTACATCAACAAACATCATTTGCTACGTCAACATTTGGATTTGTCAGTGGTTCTGTAGGACTAATGTTTGGAGAGATATGTCAAACTGGTTGCAGTATACCTTTCAGTCACAGAGGTTTTTCTTAGTCCCATGTCCTGAATCTTGAGTCATATCAGACCTCAAAGTGGGGAACCCTCTACGTCAATTTGTTTGCATTGCCTGAAAATGTGAAGTGCCCCCATTTCTGCTACAGGATGGGAAAGAATACGAATCTCTTGGAGATGTGTTTCCACTGACATGGTCCTACAATCTGATGTACCTTTTCCCTCCTCCCCCACTCCTTGCCAAAGTTGTCATGAAACTTGCAGGGTCCAACATGATCCTCATTGTTCAATACTCATGCAAGCACCCATGGTTTTCTTGGGTTCTCCACCTCTCCTAAGGCTGAGTCATGGTTCTCCTGAAAGCACCAAATCCACCATCACACTCTGAAAGACAAGCCCTCTTTCTCAATCTCAAGATGCTCCAACTGTTGGCATGGAGGATAGCACTATGAAATTATCTCACATTGCTGCAGTCCTGGCAGCATCTAGGAAGGATTCCACCAAATGCTTTTACCAATACAAATGAGGAATTTTTTGCTCCTTTGCACCAGCAAAACCATGTGACCTTTCCGCTGCACCTCCAGGCTTGGACTTCTTCTCTCCCAAAATGTACCTCTCTAAAACCCAGTCTCCAAGTTGTTCTTCAAAGTCTGGCACACCTCTATCCACTGGCAATCTATCCTACATGACCTTGGTCACTTTCTCTGGTCTCTTTCAGCTGATACATAAGCACGTCAAGCCCCTCACCACAACAGATGAACAGCTACTTACCCTCAAGGTAGCATTATCTGGTGCTATCAGTTCTGTGAGGAGCGCATCCAAGCTCACAGCTTTGCAATCTGTTGAGTCCTTTGATAATCTTCCAGTGGAATAATGTAGCCCTCTGATCTGACATTGCTTTCCTCCCAAAGGTGCTTTTACACTTCTACCTATACCAAGAAATCATTTTCCCTGACTTCACTCCTTGAAAGTTCTCTATTCTGCTTGGATGTGCACTTTGACTTTCTGCATTCACTGCATGGTAGAATTCTGTCATATCAACTGCCTCTTTGTGAAATATGGAGGCGTGCAGAACAGGCAACGTCTTTCTTCCCATATGTTTTCAAGGTGTGTTGCCCAAACCACCAGGCCTGCATATGGACTGGTTAAATAAGGGATCCCAAACAGCCTAACAGTACACTCAACCTAAGTAGTAGCATCCTCCTCCCCTGTGCTTTGGAGTATACCCCTATCAGTGTTGCAACTCTTATCATAACCTTCTACCTTCATCCATGACTGCAGATTGCTCTGCTTGTGCTGCTGATTTATATTTGCCCCTGACGCAGATGCTGGGCAAAGAAAGCCTTCCCTCTCTTCCTCAGCATAAGTCATGACAGGCAGGTTGCTTACCTGTAACTGTGGTTCTTCACATGGTCATAAAACGCCTCAAACAAACTCTACCTCCATCCCTTGTTTCAGATCGATGTGCACTACCTGGTGGACTTTGAAAGTGGGAGGTGAATAGCTTCTTGGGTTCAAATGTGAACAGTAGCCTGGAAAGGCCGGGGAGGGGGGACTTCTTGCCAATGTACTCAGCTTTGAAACTCCAATTGTGAGGGCAGAGATGACCACTCAAAGAACCACAGTTACAGATAAGCAATCTGATCATTTAATGTTACAATGTGTGTGTAGTAGGTGTGTGTGCACCTTCAATGGGCTAGGCATTACTACTCTTTCATTAACGTGCTTGTTTGGATTTGTTAGTTGAATATAATCCCCAGTAATTTCATATTATCTGTATGTATGTGTTCAGCATAAATAACTGGAGATGTGACCAAATAAAATGCTTCCTTGGAAAATCTTAAACTACTTCTATAATAGGCAACTTTGATTTTATTTATAGTCATGAATGCATATTTATTACTAGAAAAGTATACAACAGTTGATTTGTTAAGCTGTGTCTTCCAGTTAACATGATTTCCCATTCACTCGATTTCTTAGGTAGAAATAACTGACATTGAAAATGAAGAAAAGAGGTACTTGCTCTTCTTGAAACTTTTGGAAACTAGTGAAGACCATGTAGAATTTCAGCATTTAGTCATGCTCCTGCAAGCTTGGCCACCTATGAAAAGCATGAATATGTAAGTATTTGTTCACACATTAGCTGAAGTTTTAAATGGCGGCATCTTTTTACTGTTTTGTCCTTCTTTTGACTTTGAAAGCAGTTTTCTTTTGCTATAGTCTAACTGTTCATGAACACATGTCTCTCTCTGTGGGATGCAATTATAATTTCTTTAAAAAAGAAAAAAAACCTTAGTATTCATAAAGTGTCTTAAAATTATATCCAATTAAGCTTTGCTGCTTACTATATTTCTTGAAGTTTTGTTTTCTTTCTGAGATCACAAAAATATTCATTAGCAATTGTTTCTGTTGTATTTATTTGAGATAAGCTAGGATGGTATGTTGACTTCAGACTTCAGCAAGCAGTTAATACATACTCAGATTGCACTAAACAAGATTAGGACAAATGTATTTAGTAAAAGAGAAGATTCTGTTGTAGTAGTTTAGGATTGGCATTGCAGTTCTCCTTCTCAATCTTCTGAATGCATGGAAAGAGCAAATGACTAGAGCAATGTTCTCTCTGAACAAAACACACCAAAACAGGCCTGTGTCTCTAGTTTCAAGACACAAATAGGATTTTTTGTTTCAAGGAAGCAAAATATTGTTCCCAATAGAATTTGTTTGGCAAGTAATTTATATGCCTTAAAAGGGAAATTCAGTGACCCCCATGCAAATTGTAACAAAATGTACTCATTTTGCAATGTGTTGAAACTAACATTTTTCTCCTTCAGCAATAACACACAGGACCAATCTTGATACAATATTCTATGTATTATACTTCTTAATGTCAGTGATATCCTTGCTAAAGTCAGAGAAAAATGTGCACCTCCCTAAACCTTCCTTCCTTTTGAGGTACTGCTAAAGCAACTCTGTGTTTTCATTTTTCAGATAACAGTCCCCCTATCATGTATGTGTCCCATTCTAAGAGCAAATGTACATTATTTAGGTTTTGGGAGGCTTTTCATCAAACTTTATAATGGCTGTAAGTAATTAAGTGATATGTACAGATGTTTTCTTCCTGGATATTCATGATTGTATTCCTGCTCTTCATTTTCCTCTTTTCTTAAACTTTATTTTTGGCAATAAGAACACAACTAATAGTTGTGGTATTGTTTGTTTTACAGCAGCTTGAGTTAAGTATTTATTGATTTCACAGGTGTCTGTGCATTGCTCTGTCAACATTCAGATTTTATTTGCATCCCTTCGAAGATGAACTGTTGCAAGATTAAAGAAATATTTGTATTGTTGTGTATTCATCTATCTTTTGAAATATTTCTATTTCACTTCTCATTTCACAAATTTCAAAGTGTTTTACAACTACATAAAGTAATAAAATAGTACCATAAAAACACAATGGTTGAATAATATGAAAGATAATTCAAAGCTGCTCAGGGCTGGAAAAAAAAAGCCAAAATAAAAAAGCATGCTGTCAATAAACCCTATAAAACACCAGCATTGAGCTAAGACGAGCCATATATTGGTGACTGTTCTACAGGATATGTGGACACAAGCCTGTTTATTCATTGTTATCCAAAGGAAATCCTTTATCCTCAATGTTGGCAACACGATGAATGTTGAAATTCATATTGGTCATGTAGATTTAGTTGGCTTCCTCCAACATTTCTTGTGAAGAGTTGTATGCACCTATTCCAGCATTTTAAACCTAACTTGGTAAATTCTAAATTAGCAGATTTGGTCTGTCTTCCCTTGCCAGCACCCTTTGACTCTGGACAAATTGCATAATGGCAGAAGTTTCCTGCCATTATGGCATCTCAGAATTCCCCAAAGCACAAAGGACAATGTGCAGTTTCTCTGTGTACAAACTGTACTGTAGGCATGAGAAGAATAACTCAAAACTAGACACAATTTATAGTTCATGGGGTCCATCCAGGACAATACTATACCCAATGGTGAAAAGCCACCGAGAGTACTATTGATCCAGAATCCAGACTGAAATGGCTCAGTATAATCAGAATTCTTCAGAACAGCAAAATGTAATGATAATAATCATAATAAACTTTATTTATTTCCTGCCTCTCCTGATAGCTCGAGGTGGGGTACAACAAAGTCAAAACGTATGAACAAAAAATACATATAATAAAATACATAGATAAATACACACCTTCTAAAACATACACCAAACACAGATATAAATTTAACATGTAGCAACAATAGAATGTAAGTCAACACTCATGATTGAAAGTTGACTGGATAGACCTGTCAGAAGTCATGGATCTTCAATTGGCTCTTTAATTTTGACAGCTCGCTTAGCTGTCAAGTCTCTTCTGGCAGGTCATTCCACGGTCATTCCAAAGTCACCACTATCTTTTTAAACATATTATTGGGGATATTTGTAGCAGACCATAGTTATTAAAAACTTTCAGGACTAGGAAAGATCTTTCCACACTAGGTGATGAAGGACTGGTATTTTCAATTCACCCCTCCATTCTGGACTTGGTCAGTCAAACCATCTCCACCTGCTCAAATTAATGATCAGAGACTGAGAATATGTGGTAGACTGAGTTGCTAAATGCATCTTTTCTATATCCTCAGATTGCAAAAGGTGAAACTAATTCTGAAAATAAGACAGCACATTGGTCACCTCATTTGGACTTTTTACAACAATAGCATTGTGGGCATTACCTTATACCTCCCATCAACTCAGCAAGACAAAATCAAGAATATATTTTCTGTCCTTTTGCTTGGTCTGATGACTGGCTGTTAACTGTTCCATTACTAAGGCCCAATCTATAGGTTGAATCATGATCTTGAGATTTTTTGTTGCAGTTCTTGAAACCACTTTAGTAAACTCAGACTGAAGTGCTTTTGGATTGGAGTAAGGATACTACATTAAGAGTACCTTCGATCTGTCTCTGGACCTAATTGGAGTTATAGGACATGAAATCCTGCACTAAGAAAGAGAGGGGGAAAAATCAGTGCTTCTTTGGATCGGGTTGACATCCCTAGCATTCTGTGTTGTGTTCATGCTGTTCCAAGTGCTCAAGTGGGCACAGCTGTGACAGTTCAGTCATGTCCACTTCATCCACCCAGTTCAGAGTCAGGGGCGGCTCAACCCATTACGCAAAGTAAGCATTTGCAGTATAGTTGGTTTTGCGCTCTTGAGGCGCTCTTGGGGGAAAATAGACCTTGACATATGCAAGTTGTGGTTACTGGGATGTATAGTTCACCTACAATCAAAGAGAATTCTGAACTCCACCAATGATGGAATTGAACCAACTCCACCAATGATGGAATTGAACCACAGAACTCCCATGACGAACAGAAAATATATATCAGTGATTGGTTGGAGGGAGGGGGGTGTGCGCCAAAATACTGTTTGCTTACCATTGAAAATTACCTAGGGCCACCTCTGTTCAGAGTGATACATACAATCACAGATTAGCCATACAATTTTAGCAAACCAAATTATCAAGTTGTTTCATTTGACTTCCTTCATTTGACCTAAGTTATATTTTGAAAGGAAAGGAAAAAGGTATACCCTCTTTGTGTTATATATGCATTACGCATGAACATGTCACAGCAGCCACCATCTTAGAAGAGATACTCCTTGATAACAAGAAAGAAAAAGGGAGATACTTCTACCATTATCCATGCCTTTGCACTGAAAATGATCACCAATCTTTCAAAAAGATCTGCCACCATAGTTAATGTTTTAATGATCAAAGGGGAATTAGTTTATTTTAAGTAGTCAATTAACTATCTTTTATCATCTCAGTAAAAAAGCAATGCAATTTAATTTTAACAGCCTAGCCATCCCACATTCTCTCCCCTCCGACCAATTCATTAACTTATTCAAAGAAACTAGTTGTAATATCTTTACATTCCAAATATTGTTGATGAAATTAGAGCTGAAAAAGAGAAAATCCTGCCCTACCTCCCCCTCCAAATGAGTTAAATGAGATAAACAGAAATAAAGCTTTATTTTCATAGCATGTATGGATTCCTCACACACAAAAACTTTGCTAAGACACTGACCTTAGTGTGTTCATTATTTATCTGCAGTATTAAAGTAAATTCTTTTCTAATTTTAAATGAGGTTGTGTGTGCTTACGTGGGATGCATTTCAAAAGAGTCTAGTTTAAAAAATATAGTCCCTTCATAATGTTGGTATCTTAACAATAAATGTGGAAGATTATAAAATCAGGGTTTTTTATGTGGAGAGTTACATCTGACCTCAATCTGTGTTCTATCTTTTCATGTTGTGACTCACATTAGTTATCCCAGAATATCTGAGATACATGCAGCCTGACTAATTGCCCAGCCAATCTGGCAATTAGCCTTTCTTATAACATACTCTAGATCCATCTTCAGTGCTCTAGAGTTTTAATCCCTTCATGCTTTAGAAGTCTAATTTGCCAAGTGAGCTTGCTTATTTGACTGTGAGACCCAGCATGGATAGTACTACCTCTATGCACTCCAAACTCTTTCTGTGGTTCACATGCTTCCAAATAATTCCTCTTTCATGGCCCAAGCAGTTCTGATGTGGTACTACTCTAATGTTTTTAGAAGGCAAATTTTACTTTTGTTTGCACTATTTGACTTTTTTATATACATACAGAGACATGTTGCTTCATATATCTATATAGTTCTTTACTACCCTAGCACCTCAAGTTCACTTCAGTGGTGCAACCATCTTACATTATAAGTTCAAAATATTTATCTTAGATATCTGAAGGTATCCTTGTTCTATGGTCTGCTCAGCAAGTGAGCCTGGAGCCAGGTGGTGGGAGTGCAAGAGCGTGCAAGTAGTTGATTCAGTCCAGATCAATCACAGATGAAGGACCCCTGGGTGTTCATCAACTCACCCAGAGGTCTTAACAAATCAAATCTGTAGACCAGATAAGCCAGCAAGAAGTAGTTGTTAATTATAGCCAGTCCAAGGTCAAGAAAAACAAAAGCACTGAAGATTGCTGCTAGTTACCAGAAAGGAGAGCTGAATGCACCAAAGCTGGGGGGGGGGGGGGGGGGGGGGGGGGGGGGGGGGAGGTGAGAGATTTATAGTCAGTTGGTGCAAGACACCCAGTACCTAATTAGATAATTGTCACTAATTTAACAACTGCAGGAATAATCTTAGTCACTCAGTGAGTGATGGTAATTATTCTCAGCATCTTCTGCTGGGAATAGGTCTGACCTCTGCCTCAGCCCCATCTCTTGGATCCTGATTTTTTGCAATTTGTCTCCTTTTTCTGTCTCAATCTTCCAACTCAAGAGGGTGACAAGTGGGTGATCTTAAAGTTATGGAACTTTTATAGGTATCTCATGATTTCATGACTCAATATTACTGATTTCTCAATATAGGTACAGTGGTCTAGTAATTCAGTGTGCATACTGTGAGTACAGGAAGTTAGGATAAGACTTAACAGCAAGAGTATTTCATGACATTATGCCAATTGGTAACAACCCTTCTGACTTCTATAGCTTCTGTTTCTTGTCTCTTCCTTTAGCTTCCCTTGCTTCCCCCATGTGTGCTATTTTCTGAAAAATAGAATCTATGAAAAATATTACACCAGGAGCTCTATTACAGGACTCTCTGTTCCATTTTTTAATAAACAAACATTACTCTTTATCTGGTCTTGGGAGTCCCTCAAGGAAGCCACAGGCCTGTGTCTGCAAGACCAAAGCAGGACACGATATTGTTATATTTATTTATACCTTGCTTTATCTCTCCAAAGGGGACTCAAAGCAACTAGATAGAATTTGCTTTGACAACAGTCAGTTTCCCTGTCTTCATATTTTGCTAGGCTTAAGCTTGTAACCATCTTGGGAAATTGTCAAGAAGGTTGTTACAGGCCAGACATACTTGATTGCTAACTTTGCAACTTGGGAATAAATCTATGAAAAATAGAGTGTAACTGTCGGAACAGACTCTACTACAGTAACCTATACAGTATATAGCATATAAGGTATAAAATATAATGTGACAAGTTAAATGCACCATTGGTCCTTGGTATCTGCTGGGGTTTGGTTCCACAGGCCCCTTGTGGATGGATACCACAGTTTGTGGGTGGTCAAGTCCCATTACATACAATAGCATACTAAAATGGTGCCCATTATAAAAAACTGAAAAATCAAGCTTTGGGTTTTTTTTTTTATTTCTTTAAAAATATTTTCAAGCTGTGGAGGTTGAATTCTTGGATGCAGAATCTATGGCTGTGGATGGCCAGCTGGATTAGAATGTGTGTGCATGTATCATTAAAAACCTCGTGGAAGCGTAGGTCTCAGCAAAACACCTACTGAAATGTAAATCAGATAGGGAATTAGAATAGTAGCACTTCTGGCAGCACTGTGCAGTGTGAACAGATGTGACCAATTATAACCTTTTAGCACATGCAATGGCTGATGTAGCCTGATGGAAAGCAGCCAAAGCCAAGACCCAACTCTCCATAATTTCATGATATTATCTCCAGATGGACTCAGAGTGCAGTCATATCTAGAGATCCTTGTTTTTATTGGATATCATACATGAAGAACAGGGAGCATCCTTTGTTTTGAATGTATTTTGATTGGGCATCTAATAGCTTGGGTGAGGATAGAAAGAGAATAAAACCAAAAATTTTATTCTGGTTAGATTGTTTTGCAGTTTCCATCATCAAAAGAAGAGAACGCTATAATCTAGCTTCTCATTCATACTATTCATGAGACTGATAAACGGCCTAGACATGCTAGCAAAGACAGGCTTGCTGATAAGAAAAAGCTAGTACTGGTAAGACAAACACATAGGCTATGCTAAAATAGATATATGTCCCAGTATGATTGATACAGGTGCCCATTAAGCTACTCATGAACGTTAACTCCTTGGATGCAGGCATACTCACAAATGCCTGTTAGAGTTCTTCAAGTCCTCAGTGAATCACACACAAGGAGCTTGTTCACCTGCACAAGCTCCAATGGAAAAGTTTTCCAGTTGAGTTTTGGTAGTAACCCTACCCACTCCTCCAGAAGCATAAAAGTGTCTCACTTCAGCGGTTCCCCAGTTCCTTTTCGTCTGCCACTGAAGCAGTTCATTAGGAAACCCAGCTCTATACAGACTGACTATTCTTTTCAAGAGGTGGAGCCAATGCACCATGAAAATGATGGGCACAGACAGTTCCTCCAGTGCTTGGGGAAAACCATGTAGTTTACTCCTTCTAGCATTGCCAGGCATTTACAGCCCAAGCAAGGGAAAATAAGAGAGGCAAGCCTTCGGACAATCCTCTACCAAGGATTGTTTTTACCTTTCTTTCACAATAATCAAGACGTTGTACTACACACCCTCTTCCAGAATCCCACTTCTCCACTGGAGCAAAAACTCTACTCTCTGAATGTTTTATAAAGACAGAACTCAAAGCCTACGAAAGACAGAATGTCTGTTCATTGCCTGTGCAACCAATAGATTAGGTCTCCTGGTTTTATCACAGGGACTATCAAATTGAATATCATCCACAATACAACTTTCCTATGAACTTGCCCATAGAACACCACCAGGTCACACACAACCTCATTCCACTAGGGCAGAGAATTCTTAAGTGGAGTACTGGTGTTAACTCTGTGTGTCTGGTTATAACAATCGTCATAAATTGGGCATCAACGTGGTCAGAAGGTGATAAGGGAACCCCAGACAAATTCCAGATTAGTGACAATGGCCCTCTGAATGTCAGTCTAAAAGACAAGGGTGAGAAACTATTCCTGTTCCAAAGTGTCAACACAATACAGCCCTCAGTTTTAGCCATACTAAGGCTAAAATCTACATCTGCTTCAACTTTATTTGTGTATGTACTTTCATGTTAGCTTATGGTGACCCCATGATTTTCATAGAGTTTTCCTAAGTTAGGAATACTCTGAGGTATTTGAAATATATCATACAACACCTTGTATTGGTTGGTTGATCTCCCATCCAATAACTAACCAAAACCGCTCCTGGTTTGCTTCCGTGATCAAATGGGATCTGGTGTCTTTAGGGTATTTAGGTTTCAGTGCAACTTTCTTACTCTTTTTTAAAAAAAACGTTGTACATTTGTTTAGCTTTGCCCTTGTTTGGCCCACTCTGCTTAAAGCCCTTCCAACTTCTTATCTTGCAAAGCACATCTTCTCAAATCCATCTGTTTTCATTCTGTCACAATTATTAGTAATAGTCTGCTGGTTCAGTGCCAGGCAGTTAGTTTAGTAATCAGTAACTCCCTTCAACATTTATTTCAAAATAAAAGTTTCCTGTCCTAGTTGTCAGTGTCCTTGAATTATTTATCTCCTGATTTTGCCAAAGGATGGTGAAAAATCAATTGTATGTTCACTACAATCCTGCAAAGCTTTACTATATTTTCTAGTTCAGCATGTCCATGTGCCTATATTGATGTAAATGTGAGCCATTGTAGCAGTAGATAGGCTTTCTTTGAGTGGTGCTGTTATATAGCATTCTTTCCACTTAGTTTCATGGGAAATTAATTTGTGACAGAGCTAACTTTCTCACAATGCTTGCTATTCATTGCCCCCTCGAGATAGTTTTGTTGAAGAAGGAGAAAGCTAGAAGTTTTGTATCCCTTTTAAATGTTTCTATTCGAGCTTTCTGTCCCAGCAGTTAGCCTTTCGTTATAAACAATAGTACCGAAGAACTTTTCAATTCTGGTAACTGGAGTAAATGAGAAGATGATGCTTCTGAAAGAAAAGCCTTCCCCCACAATATCTGCCTAGCTGTTCTCCTGTGTGAAGAAGATTAATTTACAGTTGACTCCAGATATTACTTTTGTTTCCAGCATCTCCAAGACTACTGCTTTTTTTACTATCTCAAAGACATCCTATCAAAATGTCATGTTCAAGTATACAGATACGTGCACAAAGTACTTGCCTTTTTTCTTGATCAGTTTCTCTTAACTTACACTTTTTTCCTATGTTTTAGAACAAGTCCAAGTAATAATCCTTGGGTTAAACTGGGAACAGCAATGATTATGAAAAGCCAACAGGAGCATAAGGAGAATACAGGAAATGAGATTCTGAAAACCTGCCGCTCTTTATATGGGACGAAGCACATGCTGTCTGCAGAGGTGAGTTTTTCCTGACTTTTAATCTTTGACAGAGTGGAACCTGTTCACATGGATAGTAAACACATCAGTGGCTGCTTTTTCCTTCTTCAGCACCGGAAGATATTGGTTAAGGGACTTTTGAATTATTTCTGTCTCAGCTGAAAACTCCATTACACCCAGTGTTAACAAAGCACTTCTGCTGTGTAAACTTGCTCCTACACATGCATCATTAAGAGCCCTGAGCCTTGATTTAGTTGTTACCCTGGATAGCTAGTGACATGTGACAGTAAATGGATCATAGGTATGCACCCAAATGCTAGGAGCGTAATCACACTATAATATTATCATGCTTTTTTTCCACTTAACTGCCATGGTTCCATCCCCTAAATTTCTGGGCTTTGTAGTTTGGTCACAGGCGCCAGAGCAGAATTGACCTTCCCTAAACTGACAGTCTGAGGATTCCATAGAACAGAACCATGACAGATATTGTAGAATCATACTGCTATAATTCTGCAGTGTGATAAATGGATTCATCTTTCTAGAAGCCTGCCTTAATGTGCCCCCATCTTTCATGAGGGCACTAAGAATCAATAAGTGCTCAATGGATTTGCATGTTTTGTCACATAATCTTTCAGTAATTTGTTCCATATTCAATCTCTTTACTGAGAGCCTGAAGCTTCTAAAACCATGAATTTATGTTGGTTGTCATTTTTTATCCAGATATAGCAGTTATCATAGACATCAGCATAAGCTAGTCAGCTCAAAACACTTTTGTCTGGTCAAGGAAACTACAGTTTAGGTACTATCCTTCTTTTTTGGCCATTTCCAGAGGGATTCCACATTACTAAAGGCCCTAAAGTATGATGAATGAACTTGTTTCACCTAGTAGATGAAGCCAGGTTTTGAATCAGTAGCCTGAAAAGCTCTCTGAGCAATACATCTACTAGTGATTTTTACAATAAATCATACCCATGACTCTTATCATATTAATTGATTTCTTTATGCTGTTCTAATCACCCTTCAGTATAGAAATGGGATGGTCAGGCGAATAATAGCACAACACAATAGCACAACACAATAACAGAATAACAAGCCACCAACAAGGCATTAATAGAATGCATATGACCATGTACATACTGTTGGGGAATCTGAGCTGTTAGGCTCAAAATCTTAATCCCACAAACGAACATTACATTTTTATTTATATAGATTGACAGTGAGAAAATAGGCAATACACATTGACTACTCCAAGTCTGGGGTACATCTATTGCAATACTAATACTATAATCTGATCAGTAACTATTCAACATCATGGTTTCCTGATGAGAATGATTTATTCTCTCATTTTCCTTTTATCCTCACTGTGATGCTTCCTAATTTAAGTGCACAATTATTTACAACTCCTTTACATATTTCTGTTATTACTCTACTCTGAAAGCCACTAAACTGGACAAGTTAACAAAATAACCCTCAGTTGGGGTGAGACCACCATAAATATAGCAGAGTACCAGAAGTTAACTTCATAACCAACGGAAACTTACATGTGGCAAACTAGGATAACCTTCTATATCATAGGATGGGTCAGGATTGCAGAGTCAGAACTTTAGGTTCAAAAATATTTATTGAAGTAAAAGAAATACATTATTGATAGAAAAGGTCTTGGAGCTAACTAGCTTACTAAGTCTTATCTTCTAAAGGAGGTAAAAGATAAGAAGACCCATGCAGCTACATTTTCCCTAGGGAGATGCAAAATATGTCCTTACTGGAAGGAAGAAAAGGCAGAAGAGAATGAAAAATGGTGGAGAGACCACATGGTCAACCTAGGGGAATAAAACTTAAAGAGGAAGTTCCCTCACAGAATTCCATTACTACATCATTAAAGGGGGAGGAGACAGTGGCTGGCAGGAAGAGTAAAGACAAAGCCCTTTTGGGAAACATGCCAAAAGAAGAAATAAAACCAAGTCACTAATGGACAATATGGCCACCAATCTCATGGACCTTCTTGACTCCGCCACTAATAGATCAACAGGACATTAAGACCGTCCTTTTCTAAAATTCCAACACTGTTTTAAGATCTTTTTTGTTCTGTTCCCTTTCTGACATGCATTGAATGTGGAGGAAGGAATCCCTCAGCCTGGTCCTATATCTAGCCTAGCTATTCATTGAGGTCTGGACATTTGATGCAGTCAAATGTGCAGTCCAGGGATGAAACCCAACAAATAGAAATGAATCTTCAACATGATCATCCATCTAACTCAGAATTCTGTATTTCCTAACTGACAGTTATTATCCAATAAATTAGGGAAACTCTTGTGTACACACCACATGTATTAAAGTGTAGATATCATATAAGGAGAGAAAGAGCTATATGCCCTAAAGACATTAGGAACATCCATGGAGCATCTACACCACTAATAAGTAATGCAGATGTTATGGTATCAACTTTTGAGATTTAAGCTATGAAGCACTCAAGCCAACGTTTCATTCTCTCCCCCCCCCCCCCTTTTCACTCCTTTCTCGCTTTTTTATTTTCTAACTGGCTCCTGTGGACCATTCATATATTGCACAATTGTAGTATTGTGATTCCACTTTAATTTCCTATAGAATCCTGGGAAAATGTGGAGGATGCTGAGCCCTCCATGATACCTGTTTCATTCCAGTTGCATTTACCTTATTTGAAATGTAGCTGGAGTAAGTTAAACCGTGCTGCAGTGTCCTGGGATTTGGCTGTTGATATGCCATGCGTGTTTTGTAACATCTTTGCCAAATTAATAGTCTAAATCTTTCACTGGCCAGCTGTACTCCCAAGTGCAAAGTTAATATTAGATGAATATATGAACAGGAGGATTAAAAGTACTCTATGTGATGTAGCAAAATTAAAAATGTTAAGCTTTCTATAATCTCTTTAAATGTTTCCTTTTCCTTTTTGTTTTTATTTCTGATAAACAAAAACAGCCTTACAGAGCACAGAATGAACCACTGAGGCTTGTATATTTCTACACATTTTTAAGTGTCTAGAAAGCACAATTTACTGCCTTGTGCACAGTGTTTGCAAAAAATAAATGCTGATAGCTGTTACAATGTACAACCTGGGCAAAGCAGCAGTTTTTTTATAGTGCCAGTAACATTTTATATTTGCAAACCCATCAAAACTGTAAGTGAAGAAGCAGAATCGTAAGAGGCTTGGCAGAACTATAAAACCACTTTCAAAAGAACCCCAAACAACAGTCTTGTTTGCAGAGACGAGGGCAAGGAGGAAAAATGGGAAAGAGTATATAGCCAGAGTACACTCGTAAATATCTAAAGAAAATGTAACTAGATCTGATTCAGAGATGTCTAAAGCAGAAGTGAGTAGTGGACTGGTGAAGGCATGCCTCCGTCTTTCCATGGCTAACAAATGAAAGGAAGCCCAATTATACAGAATCTAAATTCCCAGGGGTTATGTATGTTTTACTGTATTTTGTCCCATCTCTCACAGGCTGGAAATGAGTACTGTATTGGTCTGTCTTTCAGAAATTTCTTTATTCAGGGCAGAGAATGTGTCTCCTTCTAGATGCTGTTGGACTGAAGCTTTCTGGTTGCTCGCTATTGATTCTGATGGCTAGCAATCACAAAGTCCTAGTCCACCAGAATCTGGAAAACCACATGCTCCCCACCCATGCTCTATATAAATACGAACAAATATTGTGGACTCTTGAGATCTGGTTCATGACGATTTCCTGACTCTGATTGGGAGCCTATGTAATAAAGTGATTTAAAGTATTTGACCAGGACTCCGAGAGATGTGAGACCTGTCATGGAAGCCTTCTGGGCAACCTTGGACAATTCAAGTCCTTTCTGCCTTCTTAGAATACAACTCTTAAATTAGGATCTAAATTTGTGGTTTGAGGATGGAGTCTAAATCTTTATTAAAAGCACCAATGCAATCTTAGGAGGCCAGCTGCCCCAGCACCACCCAAGCATTCAAAAAGGCCAGAAGTGGTACCAGAGTGGATGGACTAAGCTCTTTTTGCCACTCTACTCAGAGAAGGGTGTGGTTCCTTTTTTGATTAGAATTAGGATACAGTATTCACATTGACCCATGGATAAGTTGACCCAGGTTTTTTGGGTTGCATTTTGACTAAAATTTCTAGACTCACATCCGTATATACAAAGTTTTCAATAATGAAAATGAAAAAGATACAAATTCTTTCCCTCATACTAACACTGAAAAATCTAAGAGAGGGTGACATTTTTTCCCCAGTGGACTTTCCTACTGAATAGAGAAAAAGTTGCATCCCTAGTGTGAAAGGAACTTAAAGCCTTGATTAACCCAATCTTTCTTACTCCAGTGCCCACTGCAAAACAAATAATACAATACTCGAGACTGAACTCTCTAGTGGCAAAAGAAATTTCAAGCAACTGGGAGAATATCTCACAAAAATATCCTGGAGACAACACAACCACACAATTACTATTGATTTATCATGAACCACTGGATTCCATCCCTTGATTACTCCCTGCTTTTATTTCTGTGTTTGTATGATATCTCCTCTTGCCTTAATTACACCACGGGGTTTAGTGATGAGTAATGTTGCAAAAAGCCCATATTGTCAAAAGTTAATTGTGTTCGTGTTGCTCTTTGGGGGGAGATAAGTGGTACATAGCTGTGCAGCACAACCATTGACTGGCAGGTTCCATTGGTTATTTCTAGAAGATGCTCATTATAATATCAGACCATGCTGTGAGATTTCTTTCATTTCCTTGATTTTAGTTGTATGAGAGGTAATGGGGACAAGGGGTTGCAGTATTTTCTGAGCTACACCTCCTTTTCTATCTTAGCGAGAAGCTCATAGCATTGTACATTCATTTTGAGTTTTTTATATGATATAGAATCATTGAATCATTGAGTTAGAAGAGACCTCGTAGGCCATCCAGTCCAACCCCCTGCCAAGAAGCAAGAAATATGATGTATGTTGTTTGCACTGGTTTTGTCACTCATCCTTCACCCTTGCTTCAGTTTGGATGCAAAATGCTACATGAATATTTGCTTGAGGTAGGCTGTTTCCCTTTCATGTATGCAACTATGGAGCATTTTTTCTCTGTAGCTGAGAACAGTGGCCATGAGAGGGGAAGATAAGCAAGCTAAGGGCCAGAGTTGGCAGCAGTACAACCTTTTCTTGTTTTAGATCAGCTTCTGTGTTCCCTGTAAGGAGGAAAAGAAGACTGAGTTGGTGATGACAAGGATAGAATGCCTCGGGATATATCGACTCTTTGAGTAACTTGCTTGCATCATCCATGTGTATGGTCCAAATGGGTGGGGGAGACAAAATGTGCTTATAATACTGCAATATTTTCTTTCATGTCTGGTGGCTTCCTCCCTTTGTTTGTGCCAAAGGGAAGTGTCTTCCTGAAGCATAAGTGGTTTGATCCTTCTCCAGGTGGTCTTATCTGCCGAACTGAAACACATTCCTTATACTCAGTGCTTCCTTTAAACTTTTCAAACAATTTTCACTGTAGGCTTTTGTTTGTTACAGTAAAGTTTGACTTTCATCTGGCACGCATCCTGAACCTGACCCTGAGTTGGCCCACTCCCCCTCCACAATCTGACAACAGAAGCTTTACTTTTTCTTTTCAGTGCATAAAAGACCTGTGTTTGCTGCTGCTCAACCAGTCCCTGAAGTTGCCGTCCCTGAAGCTGCTTGTGGAAAGCAGAGATCAAGATCTTCATTTCATGGCACTAGAGCAGATAACAGCTCTTTCAAAGGTATGAGGAGTTGAATTAACCATCCTTCCCCGTTTCAGGTGATAAATTAGCTCCTTTATCTTCATGTAGGAAGCCAGGCCTCTTGAGTCTGTTATCATTATTATGACTATCCTAAGTTTGTGTGTGTAATCTGCAAAGCCATAGGGCCAGGCAGTTCCTTTTCTATGCTCAAGGTGATTAAAAGTAGCAATCTTTTAAAAATATTATTAATTTGCATTATCTGTCTAAACAGTTATTTAGTCAAATAACAAAAGACCTTTTATATTGGCACCCTGCTTCACTTGATTGCTCTGCTTTATGCATTAGAGATTAATACAATATGATATAGAATCCATTCAACCTGGGAAACATTTGCCACCATTTTGACTATAGCGATTTCCTGTGTATATAATAGTAAAACTATTTGCTTGGTTAAATTACTGGTGTCTAAAGTGACAGTTCTGACATTGCAAAAGGTCATTGTTTCTCTTTTGTTAAAAAGGAGAAGGGGGGAACTAAAAAAGCCTCAAGCTTAACTTGGGGCCCTTCCAGACAGACCTTATATCCCAGGATCCCATGTTTTCTGTTTATCCCAGATTACCTGGCAGTACGGACTCATGTAATCCAATTTAAAGGAGAAAACCTGAGATCAGATCTTGGGAAATAGGGCCTGTCTGGAAAGGCCTTTGTTGGTTTCTTACCAGGTTTAAAGAATGGACTCTGCATTCGGCTCTTGCTGAATATTTGTCATGTTCAGGTTTTGAGGTTGAAAGTGTAGGCTTGGGATATTTGGCATTTCCCCTCCAAGAATATATTTTTTTGTTTCAAACCAGCTTCCTATTCTTCTCTACCCTCTGAGCCCCACTTCTTTTTCTATAGTCACATCATTAATTCTTAAAGCTTTTTCCATTCCAGCACCAAAATAAGTCAGAAATAGGCTGCAACACAGCAGTCTGTGCCGGATTTAGGGGATCGAGTATGCTGTATCTCATTTAAAGGAAGTTGTATCTCCTTCTCTACACATACTGTTGAGAAGTACTGCCTTTGAATGTAGGACAATGAAAGGTCTACATACCCATTGTAGGCTACTGTTTTTTTGTAATGTCCTTAACATGGGTCTCTCTAAGCAGAAATATCAGGAAAGGAGAGGAAATTAAGACCCAGTGATTGCTGCATTCATTGTAAGAACCAGGCATGGCTTTCCAACACTGCAGTAGATAAAGAGTGTTTGGTAGCACAACTGAAAAAGTATTCCCTTTTTCCTTAATATTCCCACCAGGACAGTAGAAACTTGCATATAGTTTAATTATCTGCATAACTTAAAACTATACAAAATAACTTCTCTCTCTCTTGTTTTGTTTTTCTGCTTTATTTGTTTGTTTTGTTTTGGTTTGCTTTTGTGTTTAAGTAGTGCTCTTTTGCTTGCCAAACTCAATCCTCATTTACATTAAGCCGGAGATTCATAACTAGCATCTGGAAAGCCAAATCAGAGTCTATTGATTTCCATGACACGGAGCTAGCATAGCCTTAGAACCATGACTATGCAGGAGGAAATGCAGCCCTCGCTTGCTGATCCAATGTATTATTTAGCCATTCATTGTATGATGCTGACAGCTTTATGAATGTTTACATTTAAAAGAATGATGCTTGAAAGTGCTGAGACTAGGAATTCTGCTGCATTTGTCTGCAATGAAAGAAACAGCTTCTTTCTCTGGCATCTTCAAAATGGTAGCTCACTTGTACTGGTGTTTCATAAACTGCTGCAAACTACCAATTCCATCACCCCCCCCCCCATCAGAAATGACTAGATTTTTTCCCAATAATGAATATTATGTATTAATAATTGAAATAGTGTTGCCTGTTTAATTGGTTTGTCTGTTGCAGTAGGATATAATGTTAGCTTTCTTTCAAGGAAAAGGATGGAGAGTTGGTGGAGATAATGGTGGTTTCAATCAGGAGGCAACATTTAAGATTTACTGTGTTTTTGTAGCTTCCAAATAACATGTTTCACTGTGCAACCAATAGTATTTTGCTAATCTCTGAGGACCCCAGCCAAAGTTGCAGATTTCAAAAAGTCTATTTGCATGTTTGTCCTGCTCTTCCATTTTTTTAAATAGGAATTTTAATCGAGAAACCAAATATAACAAGCATTACATTAAAATAACAGGGCTTTGTCAAAATAGCAGCAATTTATTTATCTGTATCAATTAATATTTCAACATTTGCCACCTGGGATTAACTAACAGTAACCTTATACATATTTTATTACTTCTGCATAAATTGTATTCATCTGAGTATATGAGCTTTTTTTCATTAACTGACTGATAATAGTAGTTTTATTGTTATTCAGCTATGTATGTGATCCCCTCATAAAGCAATGGATCACAAAGATTGTTCATAGAACAGACATTACAAATAAATGAGTGCAAGGCAAAATGCCTGGCTGCAATCAGTCAAACCTTATTCATGGGAATATATTTCATAAGAAACTTGAAACACGCGAGTTGCCTAGATCTTATCCCATGTTTGTTAGGCATGAAGATTTCTGTCAGATTGAAAGCCTTGTATAGTTCATAATGCCCGTATCATATAATCTGAGGTGATCCATCCCAAAACTATGGTATAACTTATTTGATGTTTCTGAGTCAATCTCAGGTGGCAACAGAATTCCAAAACTCTGGTCTTCACATAGATGGATTGTTCTACCGATGCAAATGATTCTGTCCACGCAAAAAGAGGAGTGACTCCCCACTCAACACTCTCATGGAAATGCAGAATCATAGAATTATAGAGTTGAAAGAGACCTCGTGGGCCATTCAGTCCAACCCCATTCTTCCAAGAAGCAGGAAAATCACATTCAAAGCATCCCCAACAGATGGCCATCCAACCTCTGCTTAAAAGCTTCCAAAGAAGCCTTCACCACACTTCAGGGCAGAGAGTTCCACTGCTGAATGGCTCTTACAGTCAGGAAGTTCTTCCTAATGTTCAGGTGGAATCTCCTTTCCTGACATTTGAAGCCATTGTTCCACATCCTAAGTCTCCAGGGCAGCAGAAAACAAGCTTGCTCCCTCTTCCCTATGACTTCTGCTCACATATTTATACATATTTATAATCCAGAAGTCTATAAAATAAACTTGCATAGTTTTTTGGTGAAGAGTGCAGAAGGCTGTGATGGGAAGGGAAGAAAATGAGTAGATGTGTACTAGCATCACATTGAATTTAGATCTCTGTATATCACACATAACAATTGCAGTTATGTGACTCAGATACTTAGGTGTCAACTTAACCCCCTGTAGGGTCATACCTTTCAACAAACTGACATTGTTAAACCTGTTCTCATTTCTTTATCCATTTTAGAAGTGAATCCTGTTAGGCACATGCAACTGTTAGATGGGTGGCTCAACAGCAGAAGTACCTTATGTGCAGGGTCAGTAGGCACAGGATAAATGAGGGATGCTGTGGAGGGAAAACTAGACCTTGGCTAACATTTTATCACATAATACCTCTTACAGCCATCACCAGCTTTTATCACTTCCATAAAATGTCGTTCTACACAAAGGTTATCAAATACTTTTATTTTTATTTATTTTTGGTTTTTTGGAAATTTAAGACTGCTTTCAACTCAAGCTAACATAAAAATCATTGCTGGGAACACGGAACTTCACATAGTAGTTTATATTCATTGCTAGGATATTGTTTGACACAGCTGGTTTGTTTTCCAATCACATTTACAAAAATAAAGGAGTATATCTGGAAAATGAAAATTAGGTTAGTCCTGTGGATTTCTTGTACTGATCCTACGTTCATAAACTAAAATAAGAATTACGCAGTCTTCAAATATAATTGTTTTTTCTTCTATATGAAAAATGTTTTCTGAGCAAACTACTTCATGCCATTTCTCTCTTTGGGGAAATGGTGCTTGTGTCTCCCCCCTCCCCCAATGATTCGTTCATTAGCCTTCGTTTTTCTAGTCAGCGACAGATTTGTCTCTGTGTGAGCCCTTTGCATTAAATTGGTGAAGAATGTGAACATCAGTTATAGTCTCAAATATTTCACAATTTCTATGGTTCAGCTGTGCTGCAGTGGGCACTACTTGGGGCTGAGTCATAGCAACTACAATCTTGCATGTCCTTTGGTATTTTTCTATGTTTTTGCATTCATACTCTCTATTCCTAACTATGTTTGCACCATTAGCAACTGATTTCTCAAAGAATGGGGTCAGCTGGTGCACTAGTATTAACTGTGCAAATGCCCTTCTAACCACAGCCATGCTCAAATCTGAGCCTAGGAGTACATTAAAGTTGGGCAATTGAGATTTCAGAGAGAGTATAACTCCACCCAGCACAGGCTGATGGATTGAGATATTCTTTAATCTGCCTTCCAACTAACTAGGAACACTTCAATTTGTTTGTCTTCAATTTGTTTGTCCTCATCCAATCCATTACTGACAGCCGACACTGGCTTAGGGCACATACAGTTTCCTTGAAATTGGATTGAAAGGAGATAAAGTGTTGTCTGCCATTTGTGTACTGATGACATTGGACTTTCAAACATTGAATGACTTCTCCCAGAAGTTTCATGTAAATATGAAACAGAATGTGGGATAGAACTGATCCACTGGATAGTAACCAAGACATCCCTCTGCACCATCTTTTGAATGCTCCCACCTCATAAGAAAGAAAGAAGCCACTGTAGTAGTAGTGGTAGTAGTAGTAGTAGTAGTAGTAGTAATAAAGTAGGAGGAGCTTTATTTATACCCTGCCCCCTCTCCCCGAAGGGACTCAGGGTGGAGTAATAATAATAATAACAACAACAACAACTCTAAAGCAGTCTCCTTGAGCCCCTTCTCAGATAAGCAATCCAGTAGGGTGTCGTGGTTGCCAATACTGAAACCAGTAAGAGGTCCAGCAGAGCTCTCAGGCACACATTCCCCCTTTCTATTTCCTTTCTGTATCAATCGACCAAGATGCCAAAATTATCTGTCCATAGCCAAGTCTCGGGCCAGATTGAAATGGATCTAG